AATAAACCAAAGTTAAGAGTAACAAATATTTTTATTTCTTGCTTTTGAAGTTCATATGTCATGCTGTGTTATAGTCTACAGAGTGCATAATTCTTCTCGTGATTCATGGCATGTGCACGTTTTACTAACGTCACCACAGTACAAATTGCAACGTTAAGCGTCCATTATGTGACGTCATGTTGTCTCCTGACCGACTAACAACACACTACTATATAATAGTGCGAGTGATTAAAACAGGTGACTCCTCCAGGCGGCCTTCTGCTTCCTTTTAGGGAAATTAGTCAACTGTAACCAGCAGATTTATTTATAATCTGCCTTTCCATGTTTCTCAAACATCTGTTTTTAGTGTGTTTTTTATCCATTAATATTGTTATAAGTATATTTATAACGTTGTAATTTATTTCTTGATTAAAGGGAGCTGTGGATCGCAAATGACGACATTAAAGTTTTAAAAGACGACCTTTAAACTCCAGATAATAAGTGAACTTATATTTTAGTTTTTTTATAATTATCTGGAGTGTAAAGGTCGTTTTTTCATTTTCTAACTTCATTATCAAAAGGTGTAAATCCATCCAGTATGCACTACAAATTCTGATGACGTTAAAATAAGCTTAGAAAATGCTAAAGATCTAGTGTCAAGTGTTCTAGTACATTCGAAGCTAGATTTTAAATATGGGTTATTTGTTTCAAGAGTAGAGTTGAAAGATGGTCAGGGAGGAGACAGTTCAGACAAAAAGAGTTACTTCAAGACAGAGTTAAATCAGTCAGTATGATTTTATGTAGTATTTGGATTTGTTTTTGCTATCGTGCTATTTTAAATACTTTGTACAAGTAAGTTGATTATATGTTAATCCTAGTGTTAGAGAGGTTTTAACGTTATTTGTAATGTAGGCCTCCAACAATTTACAATAGTGTTCAAGCTTGTAGAAGCGTTAATTTAAAGGAAGAGATACTTTAATTTGGGGTTGTTACTTGGACTGGACGTTGAAACATTTTCACCAGATAATTTAAAAGAATCCGCCAACGAAAGAACAATGTCATAATTTTTTAAAACGAAATAAGTTATTATTTTATATATTCTATCAAATAAATTTAAAAATCAGACTATGCTGAAAGAAGCTAAATAGAGTATTTACACAAAACATAGAAATCCTTTTTTACCCTTTAAATAAGTTTTAACATACCTTTTTTTTCAACTTCTCGTTTTTACACACGTGTATTGTTTTATTCTCCTTTTATTTTATTGTTATACCAAAATTATGGCATCACTTTTCTTTTTCCTTACAGGAATTAGGCTTAAGAATCAGTTGATGTGTTAAAACCAAAAGCGTGGAAGTCAGCTATCATACAAATTTGTGCCAGTTAATGCTCCTCCCTATGTGACACCAGTGATTCCCAGTTCAGCAAAACAGAGAAAATATGAACACCAATAACTCACAATAATTAAAATGCTTGACATCTGTAGGTATTAAAAGCATCATAAAATTAAAGAACCCTAAACTTCTGCACTGCCTAAATATAAGCAGAATAAAGAGACGCAAATCGAATCTTTAGATATTTACTGAAAAGGAAAAGAAATACAGCTATACACTAAGTTTCATTAAAAACGATTACGTACACTAAGTTTCATTTGTTTAAATCACAACGATCATTTTCAGATCATTTTCACTGCTAACGTATCAAATGACCTGTATGCGATGCAAGTTTGTTCGTGTGTTTGAAATACATTATCTGTAAACGAATGACGATAAACAATAACTTAATAAAAGTGTAAACCTTTTACCGAGCAAACAAAAGTTTGAATTGGAAGGAAAAATTATCTGAATTCAAGTTTTCTAAATAACATCATGTACACATATATAAATACTGTTTCCACAGAAGTTCTATAAAGCAATATTGTAGGCTTAAAACATTGTACAGCCATGCCCCCAAAACAAAATTAGTCGGGCTAACATAGTATGAACGACTTTTAAAGTCAACAGAAAGCAGAAGCAACAGGCGTGACTCCTTGCAGTTGTGTCTGTTTTGTCCGAAGGGCAGAGGTGCAGAGTTCCGGTCGTATAATAACGTAGGCATCATTCCCATCGTCGCGTGGTAGGTACGCGTTTACAGGTGTACAGAATACTTTTTCTCAAATGTCATGCTTGTAAGCAGAAAACAAACCTACAGAGTCTTAACATTTAAAATAACGCTATTATATTTAGATATACCATAAATAAATACTATAAAACAGGTTATAATACTTCGATAAAATAATTTCAAATTTTCTAAACTCAACCAAATAATTAATACAAAGAATGGCAATTTGTTTTATTTACCCACAAAACATAATTTAATTAGACGTTTATGCATTTTGGTTTGTTAATATAGGTATATTTTCGATTAAATATTAGTGCGAACATTTATTTACGATGGAAGCGAAAAACAATTGAGACGTTTTAGCTTACATCCAATCTAAATGATTTGACAGCTCACGAATGACAATTCTGCTGTCGCTAAATCTAGGCCTAAATTAAAATGAACCTGTCTGTACCCTTAAAATATATAGTGTTAATAAAGGAGAAAACGCATCTTTCAGATAAGGAGATTTTTTTTTAAGGTTTTTATCATGACATATCTTTCCCCAGTTATGTAAAGTTATGTAAAATAAAAATGATTAGAATGGTTTCTTTTGAAATGTTGACAAAATAACGGTTAAAGCTTTTTCAAGTTAATCATCTATGTAAATTAAACAAGTCTATGAAATTAAAAGCTAAGGTTTCTCGAAACAAGTAGTATTATGTTAATTTTAATTTAAAGAATTATACGTTGACAATATATTTCAATTTGCACATTTTTAGTGTAAATTTTTTGCAGTTAATTAAGAAATAATATTACGACAGTTTAATTTTCCTCTTTAAAACAAACAAAAGCATAAGTTAATTGTTCCGTTCAAAAATTATAAATTAAATGATACCACTTACCGAATATATCATGAACAATCGAAACAAGTTAACTCCTTTAATTCAAACTGCCTCAAAGATTTCCAAATTTCTAGTGTTCGTGGTCACACACACACACACCAGTTTGTTGTCGCTAACGCACGAGAAAGTGGGGTTCAGTATCGTGTCATCAACAGCCTGTATAGCCAGGCGCACACGGTTCAGGATTCTGACGTCAGCATACTCACTAGTTGAGCTCGCGCCATTTTGGGGCTAAATTTACGTTAGTAGTTCCCTCTGGGAAGGAATTAACAAACTAAAACATCAAATATAGCTTGTAATTTAATCTCATTTCATAAAAACTAAACGAACTAGTTTATTTAGAAGTAAAACGTGCAATCCTGAAAATCATAATTTGTTTACAAGCTACTGGGAAGAAACATAGATTTATAATTCTTGTGCGGTATACATAAAATCTGAAAACACTGTATGTTAAAATGCTCTAAAAGACGGAAGCTTCTGATTTAGTCAATATTTATTAGGACTTGAACCGAGATATTTACCACGTCGAATTATTCCCATACTTTGGCTGTCCAATGGATAAAAAGTGAAGGTACACGTCATAACCTTGATGAACCCAGTACACTTCGATGGTAGGTCGTTATTCGTATGGACATACGGCTGTCTGCTACATTCGTATGCTTTCATTATGCCGTTGTTTAATTCACATCAGGAATAAGCTCGTAGTCAGAACGTTCATTAGGAGAGCCAACTTTGAAGATTAAGGGAAACAAACACTGTTATTTTAAGAACCATCAAAACATGATGAAAATAATCTTTAACTTCAACTAACTGGGTTCCAGAAAAATTATATATTTATGTTTCGCTAATATCAAAAATAACAATTTAAAAGAAAAATACCTTTGAGAACAATTTTGCGCGAACTGTTATAACCTATTATTTATAAGAGTACATATCAATACGTTATATTGATTGTTTGTTTTAGCACAAAACTATTTAGTGGGCTACTTGCGCCGAGTCTGTCGTGGGGATCTAATTCTAAATTTTAGCAGTTTAAACCTCAAGATTACTGCTAAGCCACCAGGGGACAGTTATACTGATTCAATTATTAAAACATTATTCTTGTGCGACTTAATTGTTTTTTGTTTCTTTTTATAATAAAGAAGAATATAAAAAGCACAGGCAATACCAAAAATAAATGTTATAACTTTCAAAATAGTATTCATATTTTATGTAAAGTATTCTTTCTCATTTTTCTTATGAAAATGAAGTTCCCATCTAGGGACATAAACACTGTTGTAAGAATGCGAGAGCCGTCACAAACCAAAGTAGGCCTATTCCAGTGAAATGTTAAAAGACGACAATAATTGTTTCTTCTTCGTCTTTTTTTTTTTTTGAAGGGGGGGGGCAACAAAATTTTGAGAGGGCCAGGTCCGAGTGCTCCCTTCTCCCGTTATGGACCATTACATCGTCACTAATGCCTTTTATGAAGCGTTTTTGGGCCCATGCTAAATCTTAAGTACATGAAGAGGCAATAAAAGTTCATGACAAAATAATTTGAATATATCACGTATACCGCCTAAAAAATGTCCTCTGGTGGATCAACAGTAAGTTTCTGGACTTACAATGCTAAAATCTGGGGTTCGATTCCTCGTAGTGGATAGAGCGCACAAAGCTTCACGTATTGTGTAGTTTTTTGCTAAAGAACAAACAACCATTAATATATTATATATATGTATATTAAAAGTAAAAATGACTTATCACAAAGGTTATTTAACCCGAAAGCTGAAAACATTAGAAAGATGTTTTCACTGTTAAACTAAATAGGAGTATTTAAGTAAATAAATTATTGTGATGGTTTTGTATTATATTGTTCTGTAATATAATGTTAATACCCCCTTTTTTTCGGTTAAGGTACAAGTATGAACTATAGATTTGGTACTGTAGTATTCAGATTCACTGATGTCCGATAGAAAAGTCAAAATTTCTGCAAAATACAGGCTTAGGACTGTTAACTTAGGAATAAAGTAAAGACATGCAGGCAATAAAGGAAAACACGTAAATACAAGTGCTATTTTTAAACAAAAATTATTTGTTAAACATAAACAAGTGTTTGGTTACCTAAATTCACCTGGCTTCTTTTCTGTTGGCCCGCAATCTCAGGGTCGCGGGTTCGAATCCAAGTCCCACCAAACATGCTCGCTCTTTCAGCCGTAGGAGGATTATAATGTGACGGTCAATCCCACTATTCGTTGGTAAGAGAGTAGCTTAAGAGTTGGTGGTGTATGGTGGTGACTAGCTACCTTCCCTCTAGTCTTTCACTGCTAAATTAAGGACAGCTAGTGCAGATAGCCCTCGTGTAGCTTTTCGCCAAAGTCAAAAACAAACGATTTCAAAATCAAATTTAAACAAAATCACAGTTCAAACTTTTTCTTCACGTTCAAACCTAATTAACCTATCGTTTAAATTGAAGTACATAAAAGTTCCTTTAAAATTTAAGTTAGCTACACATTTCTTAAAGTTAAAGTTAAGATAAAGAAAAATTAAAGTTGCTCTCCAAAGTCACTCTTATGGGGGCAAAACTGGTTTCTATACAAAATGTAATACCACAAACAAAGCCAAGTTTGCAAACGAATGTACCTCACAAACACATATGATCTTTGCCATCTGTGAATCGAGCGCTAGGGTGGAACAGTCACCGACTGTTATCCGACAGAGAAGATAGCTTTCTATTCCCGGGCGTCATGTGTTATCTTCCCCTAAAAAAACAAAAACGAGTTAACTATCAAAAAAGGGAGAGTTGAAGTGTACACTTTAGCAACTCTCTGCATCCAAACTGAAATCAATAATTTCAAAACACTTAACTAAGGGGGTAGCGAAAGACATGATACTGTTATGTACCCGAAAAGCAAGACCCAGAACCAATGAAATATCTGATTCAAATACTCTAATGAAACAAAGAAAGTCAGATATCCCAAAATCTACGGGTCACACACTTCAATCGATGGTATATATATGTGTAATCTGAATCCAAGAATAGGCTACCTTCCCAAAGAAGCGCATACACGCTAGCTTGAAATTTATGAAACAAAGGTTGCAGTACGTAGTCTTTACCTGTGTAAGAGAATTAGAATCCGTTTGACTATATGCTAAAAATGCATGAAAATTTAGAAAATTAAATATATCTGAATAGAGATGTATTCTCAATTAGTTATGATGAACTTCATAACTATTACAGTAAGTGATTTGATTATATTTTCGGAGTAAACAATAATATAACATAAGGTATAAAAGTTTCTAGCGATTTTTCCACGAGCATCTTCATAGTAGTGTTTTCTTGTAGCTATGTGACTAAGTTTGTTAATATCAGTTTTTTTTTTGTTTTTTAGAATTGAATTTTGATGGTGTGAACTTCATAAAACTAACATTAACAAAAATTGCCACAAATGACCAACATACTCTGAACAAACTTGAGTTAAAAACAACATTTAGTGTTTTAAAAGCTACAACACAATCATTGTGGGCCAACGAAACAGAACACAAATGTGTTGACTCATGCTCAATCTTTGTGTTGAATTTTATACAACCTACGAACACATAATAATAATAATGTGATTTCACAACACAATGTTTTTAGATAATAATAATTTTGAATTTTAATAAAAGTTTATAAAAACGACCTTTACACTTCAGATATATATAAAAAAAATTTTTTTAATTAACGTTTCGCTTTTGCGGCTTCATCAGGGTTAATATACATAACTTGAGTATATTAACCCTGATGAAACAGCAAAGACAAAACGTTGGTTAAAAAAATTATTTATATATATCTGAAGTGTAAAGGTCGTGTTTTCTAAACTATTTATCAAATCTGTAAATCCCTCCAGTAATGCACTACAAATTTTGAAAGACAACAGATAATTTTGAATTGAAAACCACTCTTCATTTGTATTTCTAGAAAACACACAAAACGTATTTATATCGCCATGACAATGAATTTTGTTATAGATTACATAAGCCTGTGTTTAAGGAACATAAATTGTGTTGTTGTGAAATAACAAAATTTTTGTTTCAATTTACAACACAAGTATTTTATAGTGTAATTCATTTACGAATTATGTCTCACTACCGTATATATCTGGACAAGCAAACATTTTGTGAGGATTTTATCAAACACAATTTACTGCAAAAGTGAAAACTCCCTTTGTAGCACGAATATAAGAGAAGAGTGGTAAACTATTTAAGTTATATAACCAATAAAAACTATGTTGGTGAAACGAAACAGGGCGAACAATGAAACCAGGCGTAAAAAAAAAAAACACCATTATGACGTAAGATCTGGGGGATTTAAAATCAGCTGTTGCAGCCATGCCTGGGAAAGCTACAAAGACGTGCTATGGAACAAAACATTTGGATAAAACCTTTATAAGAAGAGGCAACGTAAAGGAACCTGGAATTATAAAGGAAAAGTGAACTAACTATAGAAACACGAATGAGGGCGAAAGAATAAACATTCACCTTATATGGAATGGAAGCCCCTTTGCACATCGTTATATTTGATTTGTCGAAATTTGGTTATTTGTTCCAAATTATTTCGTTTAATTTAAATATCGCACAATAGTATAGGTATACATGTCACTATCTTTAGAATTTTTATTCTTAAAATTATTAACTTATTTGACAACTTTTACTGTCTATGGTTTTCTGTATTCATTGTATTAATGAAAAGGGCCATATTTCAATATCATAAAACTGGTCAATCATTTCGAGTTTTTGTTACTTCTCTTATTAAGATACATTTTATTCTTCCAACAATATCATTAGTCTGTATCTAGTTGTACTTGTCTGTCTTTTTTGGCCTTATTGTTTGGATAGTTCTGTTAAAATAGGATCAAAGGTAAGAAGGTGCTGTTTTATTCTCTCTTTCTTTTAAATGTTAAAATTATCAAAGTTATATATATATCTCTACTACTTATCTATATGATTTTTGTCGTTAGTTGTTGGTATAGGAATTTTTATTGTACTTGTTAGATATACAAGACTGTTTAGTTTAAGAGTTATTATTTAGTGATTTAATATTAAATGATTATTTAGTTTTCATAACAAGAGTTTTAAAAGTTAATTCGTTTAAAAAGGATAGTTATGACACGTTTTGTTATGTA